CAGCGGCTGTCCTCTGCGTCGCTCGCCGAGACCCGCGCCCCGGCCTTCCGCGCGGGCGCGCGGCGGTGATCGGCCGCGACCCTACCTTCCGCGCGGGCCGCGCGCTGGCGTGATCGGTCGCTACCCAGCCTTCCGCAGCCGCGCGCTAGCGGTGATCGGCCGCGACCCGACCTTCCCGCGGGCCGCGCGCTGGCAGTGATCGGCCGCGACCCGACCTTCCGCGCGGGCCGCGCGCTGGCGGATCGGTCGCTACCCAGCCTTCCGCGCGAGCCGCGCGGCGGTGATCGGCGCGACCCGACCGCCTTCCGCGCGGGCCGCGCGCTAGCGGTGATCGGCCGCGACCCGACCTTCCGCGCGGGCCGCGCGCTGGCGGTGATCGGCCGCGACCCGACCTCCGCGCGGGCCGCGCGCTGGCGTGATCGGCCGCGACCCGACCTTCCGCGCGAGCCGCGCGCTGGCGGTGATCGGCCGCGCAAACTGCCACGCAGACCATTGATCGGACTCGAGTGCGGCTCCGGCGCGGCGGGTGAAAGGCCGACGGCGGCTCAGGGCGGAGGTCGAGGCGCTGGGAACGACGCGGCGGCGGGCCGTGACAGATGGGGCCTCGCGGCGGTGCCACCGGTCGTCAGGCCGCGGAGGTCTGCCGCCTGGGCGACCCCGCGCTCGGGAGGGCGTCAGGCTGCGCGGCTCCACCAGACACACCGGCCCGCCGCTGTCAGTGCGAGCTGGGGAACACCTGTCGCATCGCTTTCAGGGAGATCCGCGTCAACTGCCTTTGAACTTACTCGCTTTCTCTGCTGCCTTCCAATAGCTGTAAGTCGGTCAGTGGCAGTGCCCAGTCAGAGCGCCTATGTGTGCTCAAGATCGTGGGAATTCATCAGCCCCAGTTTTCCAAAGTGTGCCGGCTTATCCGTTAAATTGGACATCGCTTACGTTTGCTGGTCGGGCTTCCCAAAAGCCGCCATCTATCGATGTCTCAAAACTGTAAAATATCCACACAAACACCCGCTTTTCTGCGCCACCTTATTCGTGTTTTCGTGATGCTCACCAGACAGTCGAGATAAGCCGTCATTGTTCTTATCAGGGCAGTGGTAGCTAGCCAATGCTCCTTGGAATTTATCCCTGGGACAGCCTCCATGCAACCTCAAGGCCAAAGCTGAGGTCGACTGGACCCGTGGGTGTTCCGCTAGCCAGCCAAGCCTGAGGCTTTCTCTGAACTGCCGGAGGATTCCGCGGCGGTTGCCCCTATGCCGTGCCTGACCGGTCCCTTCAGGTGCCCATCGCAGAGCCGATGATCGCGTGAGAGTGCATGCCTCGACTTTTAGCGGCGGAAAAACGCCTTTCATTCGCGCCCGACCAAGTCCGTCCTGGCGCGGAATTCCGTTCGTCCTTTTATTCTCAGCGTTTTTGATTGAAGAGTCACCCGGCGGCCCCCCCGACCATGGCATGGAATGGTTGTGGCATGGCACAATATTCGACTGTCTATGGGCTCCTATGGCTAGCAGACCCGGACGTCGTTATGCTGTTAATACGGCCTTAACGTGCATTGATTACGGATTGTGACGTCTCATCGACGCATTACTCGGACACCGATTTCGCGTGAACATTTTTTGGAAGGCGCGGGACTGTGCACTTTGTCGCTACTCCGCCTCTGCTGCTGTTTTGCCTCGCCTGTTTTATTTTTCGGCCCTCCTCTCTATATGTCTCCTCGCCGTGTATTGATGCGTGACGATGGCTTTGCCGAGGCTGATGCCATGTTCTTCAAATGTGCCGGCCTAACGCGATGAGTTATTTTGGCGGTTCTGTCAACGCATGGTGGCGTGGATCCTTGCTGAAGCTTCGTGTTGTTTTGTTTCAGGGAAGCAACGGCTTCGAAGAGCTGCGGAAATACATCAAACATGGCGGAGATTTTTGCAAGGAACTGGCCTCGATTCTACAGGAAAGGTGAGCATTACGCAACCGTTCAAAGAAAAGCACTGGATTCAGTTCACGCACATCAGTCAGCGAAGCAGCGAACCACATGGCTTGCTCGCGTGCTTGTCAACGGCCAGTGCAGCCTGTGGATCGGACGTGCTGCAAAGTACCAATTACACCGGCTTTCTCAAACACTTTTCATCTCTCATAGCTCACGGTTCTGAGAGTCGCTCACCTGACCTCTTACCCTTGTTCCATGAACATGCTCTTCATACTGTCTCCTCCTCATAGTGAACACTCCTGAACCATCATTTAGTCCGCGGGTGGCGTTCCTTTATGTCTCTCTTCCCATGAGTCACATTCCCTAACCACCATCTCCCCACAACACCCTGCCCCATCGTCCCTGCTCCGCAAACACGGAGGTGCGCTGTCGCTCGAGTACGGATCGTACCTGCTGTGACAGACGTACTGCATGTGCAGCTGCGTAATCAGACGGCTAGGCCGTGAACGATCGTGAGCACGCGTCACGGTGAGGACCAAACGCAGCTCCTGGTCTGCAGTCAGGAGTAGTCCTCCGCCGCCGAGCACGAAGGAGACCTCTGCCGAAGGAGTCTTCCGCCGAAGGAGCCCTCTGCCGTTCGGGTCACAACAAACACAGGCCCTCTGAACTGACTGAGACCCACACGCAGCGTGATGCTCGTGTGGGAGTGCTGTTGGCTTGCAGTGCAGCAGCTGGGATTAGTATACGGTGGTGCGCGGCCCCAGCAATTCGCACCGAGTGCGAGTTACCTTGAAGACGGGACCCTGGTACCATGACGGCATAGACTATCGTGTTTTTGCCGCGATGACCGGGCAGTTTTCGGGCACTTTTTCTGACCGTCACTGGTGGCGTGACATCGATGCTCCTGAATGCATCGCGTCTGGCCGACCCTGTGGATGATCACGGCACGTCCACGTCCCAGACGCGCGCGTCGTTATCACGGCCTTGCCACGGTCAGCTCGGCACCGTTCTAACCACGCGCCCACACGGCTGATGAAAGCTTTTGTTTGCGGAGCTGACGCTGCGGCTCTGTGAATTATGTTGACTCACACGGACTTGAGCGGATGCTCAGGGGCTTTTGAATGTCACGTACCACGTATGGACAGCGCTCCTTTTCGGATGTCGGAGGCCAGCGACAAGCGATGTTTCGTTGCCGCGCTCCGACACCACACATGCTGAATGTCAATCTTCGGTGGATACCAGTATACAACAACGAGCAGGGTCATGCCATCGCACCACGGAGCCGAACTCCGCGCAGCACAGAGGGCCGATCTGGAAGCCCCATGGGGTGTGATCGTGATGAGCGGATAGCCACCCCGCTGAGGCGGCGCACGAGCGCCAAGGACATCAGATGAGCTTCTCCTGACGGGCGTGGCACTGCCCCCGGTCCGGCGAAAACCTGCTCTCATGGTAAAGAGACTGTCGGCGTGATTCTTCATGGATTAGCTGCAAGGTCGTTGAGCTATAAGGAACAGAAAACTGCGCAAAGATATGCACGTTGGTCGTGTTTGATAAGTAGCAGGTTTTGTTATTGGGCGATGCATTTTCTCCACTAAGACCATGCACGTGTATCTTAGGTCTGATGAGCACTGGAATTGTCTCTGATACCGTGCTGTCTACATTTCAGGTCTGATCTGGAAGTTAGCTACGCCAAGAGCCTGCAAAAGCTGTCGGCGAAGCTGCTGAAGGTGTCCAAGGACGGGCTGGGGAGCGTTAACCAGGCCTGGCAGATGGTGGGCGCCGAGATGGAGTACGAGGCAGACCTTCACAAGTGAGTCCAGATGCGAGGGCAGTGAGGCGTGAGCATCGGGCCGCCTGGGGGCAGGTTAAGAGACTGACCCGCCCTCGTGCAAGCATGCGTGGCGAAAAGATGTGAGATGCGGTCGCTTGTAACTAGCGTGGTGTGGGTTTTTAAATGGCGTTTCCTGTCAAGTGCTGGGGACCTCGCATGCGGCTGCCTCAATTGCCGGGAGACTGATAGGTACTGGTAAGAGTATTCAACACACGCGACTCGAGCTGGAGGCCACGCCACCAGTTGAAGGTCACGGCAGAGCTGAACTGTATCTGTGTGTCGCTCTCACCACTTCCTTCCCTTTCTCCGTTGGCGTGCCAGCTAAGCCCTTTGTTACGGTCTAAGTAGACTTAGCTGCACTATCACTACAATGTGAGCCCCAAGCAAAGCCTAGCCCATTATTTCCATGCTGCTTTGTCGCTTTGTTCCCCTTCTCTTCGCTACACTCAGAAGTGACCGTCCATGAACTACGGCTCACGTGTTTCGGCGTGATTTTCAACACTCTTTCCTCTGGCTCGCACTGGTCCTGCTGGGCGAAATGCCCTCCCCGTGGTTAGGCTGTGTTATGCGAAACACCTCCAAAAGGCAACGCCTGTTTGGCCTTTATTTGAGCTAGAAATGTGAAACACATGATAGGCGTGTTCATTGCCATGAGAGACCGCCAACGGTAACCGCTTTTAAGGTCGTAATTTGTGTTGGAATATTTTAGTATAAGTGGCAACCACACCTGACGGTAACTTAACACTATCCAACACCTCTCCCTCCCTTCCTTGTTACGCTTTGCTACGGTTACCCCTTCGCCTCCACCATCCACGCGTAACGTTATTTATGGACAGCCCCCAGCGCCTCATTTTTAATCTGCCCTCTCTTCTTTCCCATCCTTCTTTCCATTCCCTTTCGTTCTCATTCCCACTCGTTTCTCAGTCTGAAGGCCACCACCATCGGCTCTTTCGTCCACAGAAGAATAGTATATCCAGTGGAGTGTTGTCCCTTTATGGAAGCCGTTCACCAGCTCACCGGCTACTCTGAAGACGGTTCGAGATGCCTGAAGCGGGCACTGGCACACGCTTATCTTTGCTCCCATCGCTTTTCATCCCTGACATGCTTTTTATGATGCATCGCGAGTGATTCAGAGACAGTTGGCTTCCATTGTCGATAACGTGTTTGTTATCGAACATCGCTCTGGAAGATGTGATCAAGGAATGTGCCTGGGCTGGTGCCAGTATTCTGACATGCCACTGAGTATCGTGACCAGCATTCTGACATTCACTGAGCACTGTGACCAGCATTCTGACAAGACACTAGGTACCGAGGCCAGTATTGTAACATGACACTGAGTACCGTGGCCAGCATTCTGACCTGGCTTTGAGTACCGTGGCCAGCATTCTCGCTATATCAAGTAGCGTATGGTGTGCTCAAATCAACTCGTTTTTTATCGAAATGGTCTTGGTGTTGCACTTAAAGAGGCTTGAGGATGTGCAAAATAACTGCGATGAAAGGAAACGTGGGAAAGCGGGAGGGGAGTCGAAAATGTGCATTTATTATTTGAGCTAAGTGTATAGGGATTCAAAGTGACAGATTAGTATGAAGACGAAGGGAGATAAAACGGCTGGCACGCCGCTGGAGGCGTGGTAACAGCATAGACATATACTAAAAAGATGGGACGAATACTGATGAGACCGAACGAAAGGTGACAGGAAGGAAGGAGAGTAAAAGACACCGTTGGATAACGCCAAAGCCGAAGACACCGTTGGATAACGTGAGCGTGCTTGGGTAATATACGCACGCCTACAAAGTCGTTGCAAGCGCTTCTCCTGACACCGCCTGGGATGGTTTGCCAACACCGATTATAGGAGATTAAGGTATTTTTGTCACCTCGGAATCTGGCAGGTGGATCAAAAAAAAACTCCAGAAGACAATGGAAGGCCCTGGCCAACCTCGCTCAGAGGACGCTAAGCTGATTTTGGCGCATGACCGATAACGTCAATGAGCTCGTGAAATCCGTTAGAACCCTCGAGAGATTCCAAAATTTTTGGAGTCTACCGGTCTCCCCCGCTAGTCATAAAAGTCTTCTAGACGTATGCCCTTATGGCTAGCACCGAACAGAACAGTGTGTTCTTTCTTATCTGAGTCATACTTGATAACGGAAGAGACTCATGCTGGTCAAGTAAATTCATCTCATTGGATAAGGGTTTTCTGAACTTCTGGGCCACGTGGCCCTCAGTGGCTCATGATTTAAGTGTTCGGTGGTCATTGGTTTGAAAAATTATTGGCATTGTAGGCTTACTTCCGTAAATTGGGGTCACAAATACTTTTGTTTGACCCTATAAGATGGCCGCGAACGACCTCTATTTGTTACTGAGTGTGTCTTCGTTTAGTAAGATTGGCTGTGACTAGGACCTAACTAAGCTAGTAAACGAGTTGTGCAACACCAAAAATAAAGCTGCAAATTGCTGGCTTTAGCAGCAACAGTAGCCATGCACGTCTCCAGTAATTGCGTCACGACTGAGTAGCCGGACCGAGTGTCAAAGCATTTTTCAACCAGGAGGTCTCAAATTGATTACCCGCCAGGTACCGACAAATTGGAGGTACCTGGAGGGCCTTTCTTGAAAGTTTCGGTAACAATGAGCTCCAGATAAAATGGGTCTGGTCACCCGTGGCTACGTCATTGCTAGAAACATCAAATATTAATATATCTTAATTTGTATTCGATTGTGTCGTATAACCGATACTTCTCGGTCTAAAGGGTCTTTTTCAGAATAAGTGCTCAATACCGGAATTCATTCCATAATCTCAGCGGGTGGAGTTCGGAAAGCTAATTTGCAACAAGCGAGTGACCCCATGGCACTACCGGGCTGAATAACCTCACAGCAGTGTCGGTGCCACCCAGCGTGACGTCGGATGGGTGGGCCTCTCACGCGCCAGCGAGCGTGAGCGGGCCGATTACCAGCGCGAGCGTCGCCGGCGGTTTCGCGCGGTACCGCCGCGGGCAGCGGCGCGTCATCCGAGGAGTGGCGTCGTGCCGGTGGGAGCGCCGGCCGTGTCAGGGACCGCGGCACGTAACGGACGGCCGCACCGCCGCGTCGCGCAGTCAGCGGTCCGGGGGTCACACCAGCAGGACGGGACGGGACGCGTCCCATGCCTGCTGCGATGGCACGGCCCTGTCGCGAGCAGTGCCGGCGAGCCCCGCGTCCCAGCGGCCGGCACCGGCACGCTCCATCCACGGCACGTGCCGGCGTTGTCGGAGCGCGTGCCGGCACGCGTCTGTCCGCCTGCCGAGCGTGACGGCCGTTACGGCGCCGTGGCGTGACGGCTCGCGTGACGCGGGAGCGCCGATGACGATGCGGTGTCGGCGCGACCGCTGGCGGTGCCGACTCCGGCCGCCGTGAAACGGCCGCGTGTCGGGCGGAGCGGCTTCGTGCTCCGCTCCGTCACCCGTCGCAGCCAGGGAGACGCCTGTCACAGCACTCAGCAGACGTCTTCCTTCCTGGCTGGTGGTTGGCTGGTTTTAAACACGGCCGACATGGTCTGGTGCGCATGCACGGTGAACGTTAAACAAGTCCGTGTCTTTTAAAAACGCATTGCATATGTTGGCAACCCCAATTAGATTCCAAACAGTTCGGCGCGATTAGACGAGCGCCCCTGAAAAACCTGTTCGGCTCAGAACGCCATTTAGGAACCCGCAGCACAACTGATAATGTCGGACACGGGTCAAGGTCGATGTCCGAGATGTGTATGCATGAAACACAGGGACAAATGAGTAACGGCGGACATAATGAACGCTGATGTGCATGCACCTATTAGAAATGGTGTGGAAACACCTATGATCTCTGCCATTTTGGCTTGATTTAGTAGTGCAATGGCGTCGTGTGATGGAACTTATCCAGAAATGGATCTTTGCATCCCTTAAAGGCCTGTTGCTTGACTCGCCCCTGCACACGGGGTATGTCGCGGTTATGCAAGCCGCTGCGGCCTGAAGCCTGGCGCCGCTGCAGAACGCTGCCTCATTTCCGCGTGCCGAAAATGGCACAGTGGCCTGCTAGTTCGAAATGACACACAACTACTGCCCCGTGTAGGACTTGGCGTCGGCGAACCCGAAGCGTGCTTCCTTGTTGCTAAGTGGAGGAGACACTGAACAAAACAGTCATTTTCGGAGAGGCTGACACGCAGACATTGAGTGTGAATGTCAAAGTGCATCGTCAACATGTGCATTGTGCATGCAATGCACATGTCAACATGTGCACTGAGTGTGCATATAGATGCACATAACTCCTAAGGGAATTCCAGGAATGCCTCCCTTGTTGCATGCGTGTTGGTGCATCGCCGTCTTGCGTTTTGCGCAGACATTTTACGTCTGTGGCATTAGTCTTTCGGCGGCTGGAAAACAATCTATCAAGCTCGGTCACGGTCCAGATATTTCATTGCCTCCTGCGTCATTGGTGCCAGAAAAACAACACTACCTGCTTTCATTAGAGGGAACTATGTGTCAGCATAGCATGTAGCTGGCCCGATCGCGTGTCATATCTAGTACGGGCGTGCAACGCATGATGATCACAATAAGCGTTGCACAGCCTATGGCTTCAGATATGGTAAAAACGAAAACATGCACCAGCGCCACTGAATGTCACGCGACGAATTTGATTGCGTCATGTCTTTCGCTGCGTTGTGACGCAACAACTGCCGCCCGAGCTCTGTCCTGTGCTTACTATATTCAAGGTCCATTGAACCAGACATTGTCTAGCCGTTTGCAGTACTGGCATGTTTACGCTCTCTTCCTTCTATTTCTGATCAAGTTTCCGCGTGCTTCGAGACCCTGACATACCAAGTCCCTTCTTCCTTCCTTTCCGCGTTTACCTCAGTGTGCGGGCAAAACATTGATCGTGTATGGCACCTGAAATATGTATGTGCGAACGTCCAGCACACATATCCCCATACTAGTTCTTTAAATTTAGCAACGTACCGTGCCGTGCCGTGCCGTGCCGTGCCGTGCCGTGCCGTGCCGTGCCGTGCCGTGCCGTGTCGTCACGCTGACCCGCTGTGACCCAGACGTGACATGTCTCTGACTTCCCGTACTCATGTCTCGTCGTGCCCTGGCATGCCGTACCCCCGACGTGCCGTGCTTCTACTGTACCGAGCTCCTGACGTGCCGTGCTTCTGCTGTGGTGAGCCACTGACGTGCTGAGTCCTTAACGTGCCGTGCCGTGCCGTGCCCTCAGGACTATGGCCGTGACCTACACAGAGGAGCTGGTGAAGCCGCTGAAGGGCCTGCTGGACACGCAGCACAAGGTGCGCAAGTCGGTGGAGGGAATGGTGGACAAGACGGCCAAGAGCCTGGCCGAGTGGCGGTCGGCCGAGGCAGAAGGCTAAGAAGCTGTCGTACCAGTGTGCGCGCGAGAGCGAGCGGGCGGAGGAGATGGCACTGGAGGCGCGGCTCGGCAGGGGCAAGCCCACCGGCGACAAGGAGACCAACAAGGTGGGGCACCTGGTCAGGGCACAGCTCCCGCACGCACAGAGTGCGGCTTGGGAAGGCGCACATTATGTGAAATCTCACGTAATGTTGATGTTTTCAGGTAAACTGTACGGCGTTCGAAGTTTGAAATTTAATCCTGGGTCTTTTTTTAAACGTCCCCAAAAGTTCGAGAAAAATCCGTAGGTTAGTCATTTTCTTTGTCCAGCCACTCACCTTCTTGTAAAACTGCACTCCTGGACGTGAAAAATCAATGGTCATCATGCAGACCAGGTAAGTTTTCGTGGCACAAGCTTTTCCAATACGGGTCACAGCATCAAGCATTCAACACTGTTTTCGGAGAAGGCGACGTTGGAGGCTTTCCGGTCAATCCCATGCATACCCATGGGTCAGTTGATTTGATATATATATACATATATATATATATATATATATATATATATATATATATATATAAGTGGCTTGGCCAGTGCACTCATGTACACCGTTCAGTTCGCTGCACGTCTTAATCTGCTTTGCCAGCTGATATCTGACATCGAGTATTTAAAACACCCGAAACGATAGGATCTACGACTTGCGCTCGACGGTGCGTGGCCGTCTGTGGACATCGATCTACACTTTTTCCGATACGATTGTCCAGTTTCTCCCTCGTCAGTATATGTTAGTATCTTGTCGCCGCGACCCCGTCCGCCGGAATCTGAAGCCAGTTTCTCCCGTGTTCTTCAGCTTTTCGTAAGTTGGAAGTTTTACGTGTTTTATGTCTAAAAGACCTGTTGTAACACGAGAACATGTCCAGCAGAGAAACCCGAGACTCAGATTAAACGGAGAGGCTGCCGCACCTGGACCGTGTCCGCATCGAGCATGGCTATCAATGTTTTAAATTACGCGCCACTGTCCAACGGAGCGGGGCGCTGGGCGAGTTGTGAGGTGCGGGCACTTCCTCGGAATTTCGTAAGCGGATAAGAGAGTGGTTGGTCGCGGAGCGTTACATGCGAGGGAAACGAGCGTTTCTAGACGGCAGCATTTTAACGTCAGTGCTATATAACTGTGTGTTTCTTACCGTATACCTTGAAGTTTTACATGCACAAATCCTATTTGCATGTACCTGTGGCAGTTGCACTGAAAACTCGTCTTTGTGGAGGACATAAGGGCATATGATGATGATGAGATAAGGATAATTATATTAACTGGGCGGTGGAAATGAAACTGTGGTGGTGATATGATGCCACCGAAAATTGCGCCTGATTATACAACTAATGCGCAAATGCTGAACACGTCGTACAGCGGAACCGTTACACAACTGCGCTTGCGTTTCCTAAAAACTGTTTTTAACTATGTCTACTAACTAAATGGTCGCAGAGGCACCAGCTTTCGATCTAGAAGGCATGACAGGTTGTCTGGGTCAGCCTTCTCTTTCTCTTTGTGTGTTTAGAGGGACACGACCCACGTCATCACGCCCCTTTTATGGAGCGCCCGCGACTGCATTTGTCATATTAGCGCTCGTATACTGTGGCGCGAATGGGATTCGAACCCGGCCCCCTCGTGGGAGCCATGGCGTGATAGTTGAAGTACGACTCGCTATCCCCGAGGTGTCGCCCATAATGGGTCGGCTTTCTTAGTATTCCTTTTGCCTATGTTGTCCGGCACCAGGTCTAGTCTTTCGCCACCGACGATAGCCTCGAGATGGCTGTCGTATCTCTGCGGTGTATCAGGGTCTAACCTTCGGATCGGAAAAAAAATATGCTGCGGTCGATGATCCTGGTCAATCCCAACCACGCTGAGTTAACGGTCGTCTGATTAATGACGTAACAGGTCATGGCATGTCTCTTAGAAGTAGCAAACGTCTTCGAACGGCGTCAGGGTTATCTAGCGCCCGTGTATTGGATGCAAGTTATGTGACTGGTGTGAAACGAACGTGTTCTTGCGCTTCAAATTCATACCAAAATGCTAGGAAAAGTAAAGGATTAAGGTTAAGGATCAATGTTGAATATTGTGTTATGTTAATAATGATTGTCTTAATTTGTCCGTCCCGGTGTCCGTCCCGGTGACTCAGTTGGTTAGAGCGCCTGCCTTCCGACCCACCCACGCGTGGCTGGGTGGGTTCGAGTCGCTTTAGGGCGCTCGCTATTTGCCCCTAACAGGCATGGCCTGCGGCCGGTGGCAGCGGTTTGCGCTAAAGGTCAGTCAGAGGACAGGACGGACCGTGCCGAGCATTGCGGCACGGTAAGCTGTCGCCACTAAATTCTGTCGTTGCCTGGAATCGCACGATCGGATGGTGGGGGTGAGGGCTCACACAACAAGCACTGCTTAGCGTGAGGGCTGATCCCAGAAATCCATCCATTCGAAGGGTTGGATCAAATTTTAATAAAAAAGGAAAAATGTTAGGTCAAGTTCAGGCGAGCCATTGAATTTAATTTACGTGCGCTTTCGGCTCGCATGCTGTATACAACCGAGTGGTTTGTATTACCATCTTCTGTGGTACAATTCGGTCGCAATAATTAGTTCTAGTCCAGCGCTCATGATCTAACCTAGAATGACCACCGATTGAGGTCATTTTTGATTTCGTGTCGGTGGGGCTTTACGGACTCTTCTATCGCCAGCCGGTGAAAATAATCAATCGATTACGTTAAAAAGTCAATAACAAGAAAGGCAGCTTCATTTGGATGCACAAATGGCCGCGTAGGCTTTTTTGATGACGCTAGAGCTCAGTGAACCGAACTAACATTAAAAACGTTTTTGCTTCAGTCTGTGTGAACTTGATCGGCATTCAAGAACTAAAGATATGGTGGACATACCTTGTGCTGTTCGGATGACTAAACTAAAACTAAACTCTAAACTCGGAGTAATTTCCCCAGACAAGCAAGGGGTGTGGCAAGAGATTGATAGATAATATCAGTCAACAGGAGCTAACTGTTTTCACCACCAGTTAGAGGTTTGGGCCTTATTTTTGAAAGGAGATGTACAAATTAATGGGTTCTTTTTCATCGTTCAGTTGTGTTTTTATGTCGTCGTTTCGACACTTCTCCGACTGTTTCACTGGATGCTACTCTCCAGTCTGCAGAGCTGAGACTCATCAGCGTGTCGGCTGTACCTGTCCACACGAGGGAACTGAAAACCTGCAGCATGACACCAAAGCTGTGCTGTCGTGCGTCACACGTGCAAAGTCGCATAAAGAAGCCATACATTCACCTGAAGCGTACCGTAAAATGCTGGACGTTGCAGAGTTATGCAATCGTTCATCTTAAACGGGGGTGCAACTCAACGCAGCCAATTTACATACGACGCCCAACCGGAATTTGCAAAGGAAAGTGATCATCTGCAGGTATTGCCAGGTGAAAAACGAGCAACTTGTTCCACGGCGAAAATGGGTGCGTGTGAGCGCAGCAGCACCGTGACAGAGCGGCAGTGGTGACGTCACTGGTCTGATCGTGTTGTGACGCCCGCAGGTGGAGAGCAGGAGGCAGAAGACAGAGAACGCCATGGGCAAGGCGGATGCCGACTACTATAACTTCTGTTTGCGGGGAGAGCGGGCCCGGTGAGCCATGCAGGCGTCAAAGTTGGCGATGTGGATATCTGCCGTTTTCAGCTGCAGCTAACATAGCCAGTAATACGCATGCAAGTCAAACAAGCCTGCTTTATAGACGATGCTCACTGGTGTCTTGAAGATATTGACGATCCTGACATGGTTCCTAAGTCACCTTTGAGCTCATGATATAAAAGGAAATGCAAAGCTTCTAGAATCAAGTTTTGTGAGGACGTACATGAGTTTTCACATCCTGGGCATACACCAATGCGTTTTTTTTGTGCTGCTTCACTTTCCAGGATGATAGCTTATACGTTACATCGTGCGGGTGGCCTTGGAAAGAGCCCAGGTATTCTATGTGGGAGTCTCGGGCACGTGTCCTGTTCAGCGCCTCACAAGGCGGCTGTCGGGAGCGGACTGAGACCGCTCTGAGCGGACAGAGCGGACTGAGACCGCTCTGAGCGGACAGAGTGGACTGGACCGCTCAGGCGGACAGAGCGGATTGCGTCCGCTCTGGGCGGACAGAGCCAACTGAGACCGCTCTGGGCGGACAGAGCGGACTGAGACCGCCCTGGCCGGACAGAGCGGATTGAGACCGCTTTGGGCGAACAGAACGGACTGAGACCGCTCCGGGCGGACAGAACGGACTGAAACCGCTCCGGGCGGACAGAGCGGACTGAGACCGCTCTGGGCGAACAGAGCGGACTGAGACCGCTCTGGGCGAACAGAACGGACTGAGACCGCTCCGGGCGGACAGAACGGACTGAGACCGCTCCGGGCGGACAGAACGGACTGAGACCGCTCCGGGCGGACAGAGCGGACTGAGACCGCTCTGAGCGAACAGAGCGGAGGTAATCGGCGGGCGACAGCCTCCGAGAGAAGTTGTGAACAGCACTTATGACCGAGACTCCCGCATACAGTACCTCGGCTCTGTCCGATCCCCGTCCGCCATATGATACGCAGGTCATCAACCCAGAAGATCCAAAAAGTCATCGCGCCCTTTCATCCAGGAGCTCTCCGAGGACTCCGTCTAGCTTATCCGGCTCCATACTATCAGCCCCATCTCAGCTGCTCTGCCCGCTCGTAGCCGCCCTGCTGACTGTGACCTGCTGTGACGCTCGGCCGTCTTCCGCCGCAGGTTGGAGTGGGAGACGGCCGTGAACAAGGGCAGCCAGTGCTTCCAGGCGCTGGAGGAGGAGCGGCTGGTGCGACTGCAGTCCGTCCTGCAGGCCTATCATCAGAACATGGCGGCGCTCGCACCTAAGATGGCGCAGGTCAGTTTCAACGTCAGGTTTTCTTTGTCCCATCACGCCATCTGTCGCGAATGACACTGTAGGGCGAACGAGTTTTCTTGCACCGATACTTTTTACGCTTGAGCGGCTCGGCCCTTCCCTGTCGTCACGCTTTCTGGACGCAAATATCTTTGCATTCACCGATTGCATATCCACGTGGTTTTCAGCGACGTGAATTGTAATTCTTGGCATGTTTCTTCGTGTAACGTGTTGGGCATTTGTATGCAAGCTGCCTGGTCGGACAGCTATCTCCTGCAAAAATTTCGGTATCGCAATTATGTATTATGTCGTTTGATTACTTGGCGCTTACTGGCGCTTATCTGGCGCTTTCTGCTTTTGCCGGAAACGCGCAGTTTTCTCATTTCAAAACAGGTGAAGAACAAAAGTCGAACCGGATCTAGATAGCGATGGCCCCGCGGGGCAGGCTGGTGGCTACGCCAGACTAACTGGTTGTGACAGAGCAGAAGATGGACAACTGCTTTAGCTAGGGATTGTGCCGGTGTCAGTGTCAATTGGCACGTGCTCTCGCGTGCAAACCGAGACTGCCCACCCGTGATGAGACGAACGACAAGGTATGAGACTGGTGATGAACACGCGACACCAGCTGCGGGGGAAAGGTGCTGTCGGCTACAACTCTCCAGCGGATTTCAAAACTGTGCTACGCTAAGGCACGCCAGCAACCGACTTGGAAGAGGATAATGGGATATTTATCGAAGCCGATGCTGAATGCAAGATGTTGTAGCGTGTCGAAATTTTATGGAAGGGTTAGTTTCCGATGGACTGATCAAACAGATTGGTATGGGTTGTCCAAGATCTTTGGTTCTATCGCCCTATTTTTGGCGCAATTTAAACTATGACAATTGATATCTTAACGTCAGTTATCGTATCGCTCTTTTTCCGCCGCACACGGCACATTAATGGTCGTCTGATCCAAACCATTCCCTTTTGGAATCGCTATCATTCTAGCCTTAAATTGCTTTCGGGCCTCCATTTTCGAGGCCGTTGCGGTTTTCCGTTGTTTTCCACTCGTGCCGCCAGTGCTTCCAAAAGCAGCAAGGGCCGGGATGGTAATCTCACCATGAAAACATTCTCAGAAGACGACAACACTGCCATGCAAGCGAACCGCTCGAGCATAAACACCCTCTCTCTCTCTGTGGCCGGCAGCCTTGGCCACGTCTCCCAATAAGGTGCTGACGTGGACTGACTCCCCTGCCGGTGACGTGCGCTCACTCCCCTGACAGTGACGTGCGCTGACTCCCCTGCCGGTGGCGTGCGCTGACTCCCCTGCCGGTGGCGTGCGCTGACTCCCTCGCCGGTGACCACAGAGCGCTGAGCGGCTGGCCGAACCGGTGACGTGCGCGGACGTCGACCGGGACGTGCAAACCGTGCTGCACGTGAAGGGTGCTGGACAGGCCACGCCCGAACAGCTGCTGCCCGACTTCTACGCCGAGAACATGACCAACGCCATGAATCGCGAGCGACGGAAAAAGGCGAGTCGTGGCGGCCGAGCCGGCGGGCTCTCTGGTCGTCTCGCGGAGATAAGAACTGTCAGTATGACAGACCATGACATATGACAGACCATGTAATGTCGGCTCAGATCGGTATGAATAGAGCAGGGGCGCAGCCATGGGAGGGTCCGAGGGGTCCGGGTCGGCCACTTAGGCCTGAATTTTTCGTTCGTCACCGTGTAGGGCACTCGACAGGAAGTTGAAAATCGGCGTGATGCGCTCTCGCCGAACTCCGAGCCCGCCCTGAAGAAGATCCTGACTGCGTGCCTGGGACAGGGCGTGAGCGTTTTGCTTTTTGCAACTGTTCACAAAGCCGTCAATGAGAGTTTTCGGATGTGATGGTATCGGTTACCTTATTTTCATAGAACTGGTTGACAGGCCATATTTGCTCTTCTAAAACGTGTTTACCTGTTGGTTCGGCTGCTTTCCCATCTTTCAATTCTTGGGAAAAATTACGGCTGCAGAAGTTTGCAGAAGAAGTGATGACGTGAGTCAGCTGGTGATGTTTGACACCATTCACCGCAGGCTCTTGAGCAGTTCCTTCAGTTGATTCGTCAGGACGTGGGGCGGGAGAGACGAGGTAAAGATGGCGTGGAAAATCTGGCGAAGGCAATGCAGGAGGCTCCTCACTTCGGCAACGAAGGCTCCCAGAAAGACGTTCACGAAAAACTGCAGCACGTGAGTCGAACTATGTCGTTTTCCCGCCCGTGTCATACTGAATACATAGTTGCTGATCGTTTCAGACCCATGCAACTGTCACAGTTATAAGCCATAAACTCCCACGTCGGGCCCGCGATCGTGTCCGTTAGATTTATACAAGTGAGCGTGGGTACAGGTCATAATGCATCTTGTGAAGTAGCAAGACCGAGATAATTGACATAAAAGTGTGGTCGGTGCACCGTTTGCATTTCTAGTTTGATTTAGTGCTCGCTTCTCGTTTGTTGAGTCACTTAGCTTGCGATTATCTTGAGGTCTAATATAGCGTCAGTCAATCCATGCCATTTTCGTATTCATTTTGCATTGCTAATTGTAGTCTCTGTTCTGTCTGTTTCCGCTCTGTTTAGCTCTAGGTCTAGTCTGTCCATTTTCGAGGTTTCGTTGTTTCCCTGTCAGCGTCCACGAGGAGTTGAAGCGCGGTGTTGGCGATGGGCGGTCATCAAAAATAGTGCACCTAAAACCTCGGTGTCTTCGACGTGGCGGCCGTCTACAAAAGCATAAAGTGATTATTTACAGCGCTGGTAGTCATCAATGGCGTCCGAAAGTCAGCCTGTCAAACAGTGGGTGCTAGGACATTTGAGCTGCGCTTTTAAGCTTGCTGCCGTACGGTTTACACATTTGTGTCATGGCTGAGGCCACATTGCCGTGCGCACCGACCTGAGACTGATGCCACAAGGACGCTCGTCGTTCTCGGTCGCCTGATTCTCAGCGGAGCCGCGTCTGTGCCGTCGTTCTCGGTCGCCTGGTCCCCAGCGGATCCGCGTCTGTGCCGTCGTTCTCGGTCGCCTGGTCCCCAGCGGAGCCGCGTCAGTGCCGTCGTTCTCGGTCGCCTGGTCCCCAGCGGAGCCGCGTCTGTGCCGTCGTTCTCGGTCGCCTGGTCCTCAGCGGAGCCGCGTCTGTGCCGTCGTTCTTGGTCGCCTGGTCCTCAGCGGAGCCGCGTCTGTGCGTCGTTCTCGGACGCCTGGCCCTCAGCGGAGCCGCGACTGTGCCGCTCTCAGATGCGCGCTATGCTGGCCTACCTGGAGGCGAGTCGGTACAAGATCCAGGTGGCGCTGGCAGAGGTGGAAGGCCAGACGCGGCCCCAGCACCCGCTCAGCAAACACATCCAGCACCACAAGGACCGGCAGGGCATGACACAGAGCGTACTCAAGGTTAGTACGCCTGGCCGTCGTGCGGCGGCGCTGGTTACGGGTGGTGTGAGTCGCACGGAAAATTGCCAGCAAGCCAAATGGAGTCGCCGATAGCCGTCGACTGTTTCTAGGGCTACGTTGTGTGGCTGGAACGGCCACAGTACTATGTACGCGTTAGGTGGTATGGTAACTATAGACGGCTGGACTTCTGGTGTCGGTAACAGCTCGCGCGGCATCTCTGGCGGCCAGGTGCCGAACTGGGTGCGGCTGGACCCGCTGAACCTCTCACCGTAGGACTCCCCGGACTGGGCCACCGACCGGGGCAAGGCGGATGGCACCTCCAACCAGCACGAGTCAGACTTCGGTACGCACGCCATACCAGAGCGATGCCTTTGTGATGCAGCAGCAGGTGGCAGCGACATCTGTAGCTGCATGGGTCTTGCTGAATAACCCCCTATTTGATCAACATTTTTGGTTAAGGTCTCGGTGGTAGCTTTTGGGATTTCCTCAGTTGTAGATACTATAGAAAGCCGGTCTTTTTTTAACCATTCATCACCTGGCTGCTCGCCGTGTAAAATAACAGCTTTTCGCCAAAAACGCTGGAGGCCTAGAGTTCGTTTGAGGTGACCAACACAAGGCGCAACAACCATAACATCCGTTGCCCTTGCCCAACAGACGAATTCAGCAGCCACGGTGACCAATCACCGCCGACGAAGCTCCCGCTGACGTCATCACCACCGCCAGCTGATTCGTCCAGTGAGCAGCTGACGGCGTCTCCCTCGCCTGTGGAGCCGGCGCCGTCCATCGGGCGCTGCAAGGTGCTTACGACTACAAGGCCAACATGAACGACGAGCTCACCATCAAGGCCGGTGGGTGTGCTGACGGCACCCGCCGCTGGCGACTGCAGCAGTATCCTAGCTGGTGTCCATCTCACTGACTACCCTGGCGGGGCAGTTGTTCCGTTGTTTCTGTTTATGGCTTGACTGAGGGAAGGAGTAACATACTTCGGAAGACGGAAGAAACGGAAGAAAGCGGAGAACTGCCGGTTATGCTCTTGTTTCCCGCCTCCATCGACGCGAGTGACTGCGACGATGTTGTCCAGACCAGGTGCATGAGTCGTCGTCTGATCCAAAGCCTTCAATCATTCGCGTGCGAAAACGACCAAACACCTGCCCTACGAGATTACAGCTGGAGCTTAAGTATGATGTATTACTTTCGGACGAAATGGCTGGGCATGTCCAACAGTCCAACTCATGTTATTGCCTGCTGCGGTTCTGTTGCCCCGGACCCCGTCGCGCTGGGGCTGACCTCGTCCGCTGTGCCCAGGTGACGTCATCAACATGCACGACAAGCAGGAGGACGGCTGGTGGCTGGGAGAGTTGAACGGCACCGTCGGCATCTTCCCCGCCACCTACGTCCAGGAGCTGACCTGACCACGTGACGCCACGCAGCGTCCGGCGGCGGCAGCCGGCGACGTCACGTGACTGCGGGTCACCTCGCGAGATGTCGCCACCGTGTGGTTCCACTGAGACTTGAGCGGGCTCGATCAGTGGTGTTTGTGATCACGGCGCTGCGCGCGGCTGATAGTCTGGCTGGGAGCCCACACGACTTGTGTCGACCTTGCCTGGAGTGGCTGCTGATACCACGAGAGCTCGCCGATGTAGTTAGTATGTCTGCATTGCCGTTCTTTGTAAAGTGTTGACAATGAAGCTCGCTGAAGCTATGTTTGTACCATTTTGAAGCAGATGACTAACAAGCAGTGCTGTTGGTCTCCTGCTGGGGAGTTATTGTGATGATATAACAGATTACTTGCCTGAAATGTATCTGGGTAATATACGACTGCATGAACTGCATCGAGCATACTGCAAATAAGAAAATAAATGCTTAGCTACCATGCGGAGGGAGCAATCGCAGTAAGTTGCTCACTTTTCCTGTCCAGCAATGTGTCGGGTCCAGCCAATTAGTGTCCGGCCGTTTGTTACAAAACGGTAACAAACGACAACGAAACTGAAAACGGAGCCGTAGCCATATCGCCGGTGCGTATGGTTATTTGCATTCGCATACCATCGTGGCACAAGGCGGCGGGAGCACGTGAGCCCAAAGGTCACGTCGTCATTCGCGACAGCGCCAGACACAGAGCCAGGGCCAGAGCCACTGCCGTCTCAGTTGTGTGTGTTTACCACAGAGCCGGTCCCGAGATGCATCGTGGCTGATGGCACGGGTTCGGTACAAAACGCAACATACCGATTGCACTGCTGGTGTCCTCCCTCCAAAATCAGGGGAACAGCATCACGGGATATCCCAGAATCATGTCGTGACACTCGTGGCACATTCTGCGTAGCACCGCGTGTTTAGAGCATGCCGTGACATGGGGGCACTCGCACCGCAAAAACTTGGGCTCCAGACAGGCAGCCGAAGACAGTTCAGCTACATTATTGTCAGCAGCGATGGCCGACCCTCTCGTCTGGTCAGAATCTCGAGCGATCGGACTGACTGCGTTTCGCGGACAAACCATCCGCGATGGTTCTGTGTGTTGTCCCACAGCTTGACATTCGACGGGCCGCTGTACAGAGCGACAGCCCAGCACAGACAAGGTTGCTCCGTCGCGTGGAGGAACATGTAGCTCGCTGTCGCCGTGAGCAAACCCACCACAGGACGGATCCTCCCATCGCAGGACATCTCTGTTGACCTACACTGAGTGGAATGTCAACGCGCCTGCAAGCGGGAGGGGCTGGCAGTCTGTTTGGTCGGGCGAACCATCGGCGCCTCTTAGGCCTTGAACTGAGGACCGCGCCAGGCCGGGCCAGACGGCCCCCTAGCGACGCGCTCACTCGCAGGTCTCTGGTATCCGAGGCAACAGGGGGCGACTGCTCCGTGGTGCAGGGCGAAGGAATCTCACCGCACGAGGAAGTCAGGGACGCGGACACGACAGCAGGAGCCATGAAGCTGGTGCAGTGCACTTACCAAGCGCGTAGTCGGCTGGGGCTGCTGACGGACGGCGACAAGGCAGTGAAGCTGCTCTCTGAGGAGACGCTGCCGACCAGCACCGTGCAGCTGCTGGAGCTGGGGACGCCGGCGCATGTGCGAGAGCTGCTACGCGCCGCTGAGAGCTCAGCACCAACGGTGCCGCTGGCCGAGGTCCAGCTGCGCGCGCCTGTGACGCGGCCCGACAAGGTGCTTTGCATCTGCATGAACTACGTGGACCTTTGCGCCGAGCAAAACCAGCCGGTGCCCACCGAGCCCGTGGTGTTCAACAAGTTCCCGAGCTGCATCGTCGGCCCGGCGGACGACATCGTGCTGCCGTCGGCGACGAGTCAGCTGGACTGCGAGGTGGAGCTGGCCGTGGTGATGGGGCAGCGCTGCCGGGCCGTCAGCCGGGAGCAGGCCGCCGACTACATCTTCGGCTACACGGTGGCGCACGACGTCTCGGCGCGGGACTGGCAGCTGCACCGCAACGGCGGTCAGTGGCTGCTCGGCAAGGCCATGGACACGTTCTGCCCGCTGGGGCCGAGCCTGGTGACGGCCGACGCGCTCGAGCCTCACGCTCTGGCGCTCGCCTGCCGCGTCAACGGCGCCACGCGCCAGAACAGCACCACGCGCCAGCTGGTGTTCGACTGTCATCAGGTGGTGGCGCACATCTCGCAGTGCCTGACCCTGCTGCCCGGCGACGTCATCTTGACAGGCACGCCGCCCGGCGTCGGCGTGTTCATGAAGCCGCCGCAGTTCCTGCAGCGCGGTGATGTCGTCGAGGGTGAGATTGAAGGCATCGGCACCATCCGCAACAGGGTGGTCTGAGCTGCGCCGGCGGTGTGACTTCTCGCGCTGGAAACGGCCTCACAAATAGGTGGACATTGTTCTATTATCATGGTGAATGGAAAAGAGATGTGCCCATGCTAACATGGCCAGCGACGACATTCCATGCGCGTCACCCCTGCCAGCCGGGACACTCATGAGTGGCAATACACCGCACGAAACGTCACGTGGAGTTTTCCTGACGAAAAACGAATTCGACACGGGAACGGGGAAGCATCATCTGGTTTCCCGTGCCACATCTTGTATCACAGCAACCGAACAGAATCTTCACCATGGCAGGCATTTCGGTACGCTGGGAGGCGGCGGATCGAGCGTCTGTTGCAAGCTGTAATCAGCAACGGATATGACAGCATTAGCACTTAGATTTGGATCAAGTCCTCGTGTTGTGTGTTCCATGGCGACCCGTTTACTGTTTCAGTAGATTTTGGCTCCTTCTTGATAGGGCCAAAGGTATGCTTCGTACGCTGTCATGTTCTGACATCTTATGCATAGGGTCGCTCGGTCAACTGCTAGCCAATGATTACGGGCCCGCCTCTCTGCTTCCCAGCCTCCAGGCATTTTAGCATGCCGAGCCTACAGAGATGGATGTGCCGTCATCAGGTCCTCGCAGTGGGACGACTTGAGGAACGGGATGTGGTGCTGGTCTCGGTCCGATCAGCATCGAGTGTCACATGCCACGTCTCGCACTCCTGGGCAGGGGTGTTAATTTTGGGAAATTATTGGGGGCTGAACCGAGGGGCCGACAACCCACCGTTCATTCTGTCTTACTGGATTTAGCCCTCTTTATTTGGCTGTACGGCAATATATGCCTCTAACTTTGGTAAAATTTAAGTATTTTATTTAAGTAGCATACTAGTCATGCAGAGGTAGATCCAGCGAGCAGACAATGGACGCACGTTCCCCTTCTGATCGGCAAGTGAAGGCGCTCCTTTGGAGGTCACCCTAGGGCGCCGAGGGCGCTCTTCTATAGCGGCCATGAGAGGCAGCACGCATGTTGGTTGTGGGGTGTGGGGATAGGGTGAGCCATGAAGGACTTTAGGTCATCCCTGTACTTCAGAGTTTTTGCTAAACCTCGCAAACCCATGCGTATCTTATGGTGTAACCTAGGTGTGTAAGGTTTATTGCATCGCTCATCCGTTCGGCTGCTTTTACGACTTTTATCTTGTGAGAGCAGCCACGACTTTTTATGACGAGGAGAAGGAGGGGTCTAGTATTGATAGGTGCACAGCTACATGCGAGAAACATATGTTTCAATCAAGAGGTAAATATCCGGCTGAATTAACCCGCCATTGACCAGGGGAGGGTCAAATCTACCCACCAACCCCCCCCCCCCACCCCACCCCCTCCCTTTGCAATATTCGTGATACTTCAAAAACACCTTGAGATATCGCAGCGGATGTTTTAGTGGCTGTTAACTGATGAGTTCTACGCCTTGTGCAGCTATAACTGGAAGGAGACCATAACGAATTAAGCGTGAGTGACGTCAAAGTGGCGTCATGTTTACCGATTTTCGACAACAGCTCTTGCTCACGTGCCTGATAGCCATAATTCGCGCTTGGATTGTCCAAATATGACGCCAAAAAAAACATAGACGACGGTTTTAGCTCTCATTTGGGCGGCATGTGACCTTGTCTCTAGCATGGTGAGGCGCGCCTGTCATTAGATACCTTCCTACGTAGCATCTTTGATCAGGGCGCAACGATTTCACGCCGTGAGGTACGCTTATAAGTGAAATGCGTTGTGGGGGAGGCCGGATATTTCAAAGAAGCATTTTAAGATTTGACCTTGATCTGTAATCTTAACACACACTTAGACTTAAGCTTTTGTTGTTGTTTGGTACAGCAAAACGGAACGCGGTGTGTGGTTTCAGACCGCTCATCGCGGTGCTATCTATTGCTGTATGAATTTTGAATTTGGCCTTGCCGTTCTTGAGAAAGGTAGGGGGTTCAAATCTGCCCCCTCCGGTCAATGGTGTGCCGCTGAGGAGCCCGCTCACTGCTGGTTTAACGGATCCAGCAACCAGGTTTGGGGGTCAAGCCACCCGACCCAATCACACAAACTACTCCAATTTTGGTTTTGTCCTTAGCTGCGGTGCCCCCTTCCGCAGCAAAACAGTGCCGCTTTATTCAAATTACGACGCAAACTATTTAAAAAAACAAACTATATTACAAACTATATAACAAACTATATAACAAACTATATTACACAAACAACTCCAATTGTGGTATTGTCCTTAGCTGCGGTGCCCCCTTCCGCAGCAAAACAGTGCCGCTTTATTCAAATTACAACATTCTGTACATGCGAGGGATGTATACAATTTTTGGCTTAATTTGTCACCGTAGAGAATTTTCAAACTTCATATTTTGTCATGGCATCAACGTTTCACGTCGAGCAATACTCTTATGGGATTTAGGTTGAAAGCAAACGGCTTACATTAGATACATAAAAATACATTGTGAAACAACGTTGAGGATGAATTTATTGCGAGCACGGTGTCAGCATACGTGTGCTTTTAATAGGATCACCACACACCAACTTACTATTAACACGCACTCGGGTCGTGCATCAGTCTAACCCTCCCCGAAGGTTTTCCAGAATAATTTTTGACCGATGCGGTGTAGCCGTTCTATCCTAGGTAGGTGTATATACGACAAACGCATCTTTCTATGGGACTCCAGCTACATTAGCGACCAACTTTTGGCGCGGCGTAGCCACGCCCAACTCTACATACCGATGTCAAATCTGAACTCCTTTGTCAATGGAGAACGAGCTTTAAGTGGCAGATTTATGCGCCTCTCGAATTTCTTAACCAAAGGGACGTCAACAGACATTTTATATGAACTTCTTGCAGGACAGAGGAGGTCTCAGACCTAAAATAACCTATATCAACTGTTCTTTGGGAACATTACGTCTAACACATTCATTCACGGTTTTTTTAACACACCGTCTAACGTATTTATTGATACTCATGTCTTAAAAATATAAATAGCTTGGTTTAGGCTTATAGGATCTTTAGGTTCTTAATAGATTTTTGGTCATC